GGTCTCTGCCTTTATCCTACATGCTTCTTTTCCTGTGTGCATGGTTAGCCTACTTTTCTTCTCTTTATAAGGACATTGGTCATATTGGATTGGTCCAGGCTTATTTCAGTACATTTCATCTTAACAAATTATATTTGAAATGATGCCATTTCCAAATAAGATCATATTCCAAAGTACTGGGGTTAGAACTTTAATATGAGAAAGGGCAATTTGGCTCAGGACAAGAAGTATTTATTAAAACCACATATACAACGTTCCTATGACCCATCAAATTCTTAAACTGTGCTTCATTTTATTTTGTATTTGTTGTTTTTAGTTATACATGACAGTAGAGTGTATTTTGACTATTATATATACATGGAGTATAACCTATTCTAATTAGGATCTCATTCTTGTGATTGAGGAGTTAACACTGATAGTGTATTTATGAGCAAAGGAAAGTTATGTCAGATTCATTTTACCATCATTCTTATTCCCATCCCCCTCCCTACCCTCCCTATGGTTAGCATCCACAAATCAGAGAAAACATTTGGCCTTTGTTTTTTGGGGACTGGCTTATTTCACTCAGCATGATAGTCTCCAGATCCATCCATTTACTGACAAATGCCATAATTTTATTCTTCTTTATGATTGAGTAATATTCCATTGTGTACATATATAATGCATTTTATTTATCCATTCATCTGTTGAAGGGCACCTAGGTTGGTTGCATAGCTTAGCTATTGTGAATTGAACTACTATAAACATCGATGTGGCTGCGTCACTGTAGTATTCCGACTTTAAGTCCTTTGGGTATAAACTGAGGATTGGGATAACTGGGTCAAATGGGGGATCCATTCCAAGTTTTCTAAGGAATCCTTAAACTGTTTTCCAGAATGGTTGCACCAATTTGCAGTTCCACCAGCAATGTATGATTAAACTTCCCCCCCCACCCCGCATCCTCCTCAACATTTATTGTTACTTGTATTTGTAATCATTGCCTTTCTGACTGGAGTGAGTTTGGGGTCTCAGTGTAGTTTTAATTTTATAACCTTAATTGTTAGAGATGTTGAACATTTTTTTCATATTATTTGACCATTTTTATTTCTTCTTCTATGAAGTGACTTTTCAATTCCTTTGCCTATGATCATTATTTTTGGGGGGTTAAGTTTTTGAGTTCTTTGTGTGTCCTGGATATTAATTGTTCTATCTGAGGTGCAGGTGGCAAAGATTTTCTCCCCATTCTACAGTCTCTCTCTTCACATTATTTTTTTCGGGGGGAGGTACTGGGAATTGAACTTAGGAGCACTTGACCACTGAGCCACATCCCCAGCCCTATTTTGTATTTTACTTAGAGACTGAGTCTCACTGAGTTGCTTAGCACCTGCTGGTGCTGAGGCTGGCTTTGAACTTGCAATTCTCATGCCTCAGCCTCCCGAGCTTCTGGGATTACAGGTGTGCACCACCTCGCCAGCTGTCTTCACATTCTTAATTGTTTCCTTTGCWGTGAAGAGCTTTTTGGTTTGATACCACTCCCTTATTGATTCTTGATTTTTCTTCCTGTGCTTTAGGAATCTTATTGAGGAAGTCCATTCCTGAACCAACATGATGGAGAGATGGGCCTACTTTTTGTTCTAGAAGGTGCAGGGTCTCTGCTCTAATGCCTAGGTCCTTGACCCACTGTCAGTTGAGTTTTGTGCAGGGTCTTAAACGGGGGTTCAATTTCAATCTATTACATATGGATTTCCAGTTTTCCCAGCACCATTTGTTGAAGAGCTATCTTTTCTCCAATGTATGTTTTTTTTTTTTTTTGAATTTTTAATATTTATTTTTTAGTTCTCGGCGGACACAACATCTTTGTTGGTATGTGGTGCTGAGGATCGAACCCGGGCCGCACGCATGCCAGGCGAGCGCGCTACCGCTGAGCCACATCTCCAGCCCATCCAATGTATGTTTATGGAGTCTTTGTCTAGTATGAAATAACTGTATTTATGTGAGTATGTCTGTGTCTTCTGTTCTGTTCCATTGGTCTTCATGTCTGTTTTGGTGCCAATACCATGCCATTTTTGTTACTGTAACTCTGTATTATAACTTAAGGTCTGATATTGTGTTGCCTCCTGCATACTTCTCTCACTATGAATTGTTTTGGCTATTCTGGATCTCTTTTTTTTTTCTCAAATGAAATTCATGACTGCTTTTTCTATTTCTATGAAGAATGTTATTGGAATTTTAATATGAATTGCATTAAATCTGCATAGCACTTTTGGTAGTAGGGCCATTTTAATAATATTAATTCTGTCAATCCAAGAGTATGGGACAAATTTCCATTTTCTAAAGTATTCTTTAATTACTTTCTTTAGTGTTTTGAGGTTTTCATTGAGAGGTCTTTCTCCTCTTTTATTAGATTCACAATTTTTTTGAGGCTATTGTGAACAGAACAGATGATTTCTCTTGCAGCTGATTTGTTATTGGTGTATAGGAATGCAATCGATTTATCCGTGTTAATTTTATATCCTGCTACTTTGCTGAATTCATTTATGAGTTCAGTAAGCTTTCTGGTGGGCTTTTTTTGGGTCTTCTAAGTATAGATTCATGTCATTGGCAAATGGGGACTGTTTGAGCTCTTGTTTTCCTGCTTGTATTGCTTTAATTTCTTTCTTTTGTCTAATTGCTCTAGCTAGGGTTTCAAGGACTATGTTGAATAGGAGCAGTGAAAGAGGGCATCACTGTCTTGTTCCAATTTTTATAGGAAATGCTTTCAATTTTTCTCCATTTAGAATGATGTTGGTCTTGGGTTTAGTATATACAGCTTTTACAAAGTTGAGTTATATATCCCTAGTTTTTCTAATGTTTTGAGCGTGAAGGGGTTCTGTCCTTTTTCAAATGCTTTTTCTGCATATATTGAGATAATAATCATGTGATTCTTGTCTTTTTGTGATGAATTATGTGTATTAATTTCTGTATGTTGAACCAACTTTGCACCCTTGGAATGAACCTCACTTGATCATGGTACACTATTTTTTTAAAAAAAAATTTGGTACTTGGTCTTGAACTCAGGGGCATTCAACCAGTAAGCCACATCCCCAGCCCTATTTTGTATTTTTATTTAGAGACAGGGTCTCACTGAATTGCTCAGTGCCTCTCCATTGCTGAGGCTGGCTTTGAACTCACGCTCTCCTGCCTCAGGCTCCTGAGTCACTGGGATTACAGGTGTGCCCCACCACACCCCAGCATACTATCTTTTAAATTTGTTTTTGTATGCATTTGCCAGTATTTATTAAGAATATTTGTGTCTGTGTTCATCAGGGATATTGTCCTGCAGTTTTCTTTCCTTGATGTGTCTTTGTCTGGTTTTGGTATCAGTGTAACACTAGCTTCATAGAATGAGTTTGGAAGGGTTTCCTCCTTTTCTGGTTCATGAATAATTGGAGAAGTGTTAATGTAAGTTCTCCTTTGAAGATCTGGTGGAACTCAGCTGAGAATCCATCTGGTCTTAGGCTTTTCTTTGTTGGTAGGCTTTTGATGGTGTCTTCAGTTTCATTGCTTGAAATTCATTTGTTTAAATTTTCTATATCCTCCTGATTCAATTTGGATCATAAGTCTCTAGAAATTTGTTGATGTCTTCATGATTTCATATTTTATTGGAGGATAGACTTTCAAAGTAGTTTCTGATTACCATCTGTATTTCAAAAATGTCCATGGTGATAGTTCCTTTTTGATCACAAATTTTAGGATTTGCATTTTCTCTCTTTTTTCTTATTTAGCTTGGCATGAACCACCAATTTTACTCATAGGTATATACTCAAGAAAATGAGTGTGTACATAGACCAAACAACATGTGCAAAGCATAAATGTTCATAGAAACGATATTTATGTTAGTCTTAAACTGGGATTATTCAAATCCACAAAGAAATTGATGAATAAATTATAGTACATTCATTAAAAAAAACCTACCATATAGCATTTAAACTTGAACTATGTAAAAAATTTTAAATATGTGATTCTATAAAACAAGCAAAATGAATTAATGATGTGGGGATGGGTATGTAGCTTAGTGGTAGAACACTTGCCTAGTTTCTGTGAGGCTTTGGATTCAATTTCTAGCACCATAAAAAAAAGAATCAATGATGATATAAATTAGAGTGGTATTGACCTCTGAGGAAAGAATATTGAATAGAATAAGTTATACTGCATGTATGTATAATATATAAAAATACATTATACTGTCATGTATATCTAAAAAAGAACAAATAAAGAATTAAAAGACAGAATAGTGAGAAAGCATAAAGGAAATTTTGAGTAATCAAAATGAGAGCCACCTTGGTTTTGAAAATGTTTATGTGAGTGTATGTATATATGTACAAGTTCACCAAGGTGTAACCTCTCTGTGCATTTTATCATATATAATTTATACTTTTAATAATGTTACTTTTAAAATAAAATTTGACCAATTATACTATGTGCATATACAAATATAAAGAATCTCACGCTTTGTATAATTATAATGCATCACTAAAAATAAAATAAATTGGTATGTCATTTATTTTTAATAAATAAATTAATAATTTTTTTAAACTAGTGTCTTATGGATGTACATGATGTTGAGATTCAATGTGGTATATTCATATACAAATGTAGGAAAGTCAGGCTAGATTCATTTCATTGACTTTCCCTATCCCATAAATTGCTATGTAATTAATTTTGTTACTTTAGTGCTATGGGAGAATCAATGATTCTTGGCTTTTTTCCGTTATCACTCACCAAAACTAATTGTATTTCCTTCCCATGACTAATCAGTGAAAATCATACAGAAAGAAAATGAAGATAACAATAAACAAAATGAAAAGGAGAAATAACATGTAATCCTGTTGAACTGAGAGTAAACACAAGTGACCAGAAGGGAGAGATTCAATGAGCCCAGAGATTGATTCACAGTGGATTTGTGTTTAAGTAGAACACCACTCCAAATGCATACTTTGAAGAGTACTTTGGCTTTGAGGTTACTGACCTCCATCATTATCATGGTACCTGGTAAGTGTGATATTTTGACATTTTTAGAAGAAAATAAAACCATCTTTAAATAGGGACAAGGATTCTCTTGATTCAATTGTAAGATGCTTTTTGAATTGTCCCGTAGTGATAAATTTGTGCACTATCTGGCACACAGCTTCTGATGTCTCTTACTCCAGTGATGCACTAACTGTGGTCACCATGCAGTACAATAGACCATTAAAACTTATCCCTTCAGTCTAATTAGAATTTTTACCCTTGGACCAACACCTTACCTTTTGCTGTTCCTCCCACAAACCTCCAGTGTCTGGAAACCATGTTTTTACTCTTTGTTTCTATGAGATCTATCTTTTTAGATTCTATATAAAAGTGAGATCATGGGCTGGGGATGTGGCTCAAGCGGTAGCACGCTCACCTGGCATGCAGGGCGCTGGGTTCTATCTTCAGCACCACATAAAAAATAAAATAAAGATGAGATGTTGTGTCCACCAAAAACTAAAAAATAAATATTAAAATTTTTTTCTCTCTCTCTTTAAAAAAAGTGAGATAATATAGTATTCATTTTCCTGTATTTGACTTATTTCACTTAGCATAATAATTTCACTTAGCACTTCCATCTCTGTTGTCATGAATGACAAAATTTCCTTCTTTTTAAAAGGCTATTCTGGTGTGTGTGTGTGTGTGTGTGTAAAGTGGAAGATATATATGTATATATACTTGTTTTGTCCATTCACCCAGTGGTGGACATTTAAGTATTTGCATATCTTGGCTATTTTGAATAATGCTGAAATTAACAGAATAGTGCAGATATACATGACATATGCATTTCAGATCTTTTGGATATATGGCCGGAAATAGATTGCTAGATGATGTGAAGTGAGGAGGGGTGGGATAATAAAAGTACAGTAAAATGAATCTGACCTACTTTTCCTATGTACATGTATCAATATACCACTGTGAATCTGTCATGTATATCCAAAAGACTAATTTTAAAAACTATTAAAAACAGAATATGTATCTCCTTGCTGTTGAAAGTAGTCTAGAGAGGTCAGTTATACCCAGTTGATTGATGGGACTATTGAGTTCAGATATGGGTGTCCTTCCTGATTTTATGCCTGTTGGTTCTGTCCATTTTGATTTCTTCTTAATATTATATCAGTTTAGCCTCACACATTTTGACACTCTGTTGTTAGGTATATATGTGTTAAGAATTATTAAGTCTTCTTGGAGAATTGATCACTTTACCCTTACACAATGCCTGTTGTTAACTCTGATACTTTTCCTTGTTCTGAAATCTTTTCTGACCAAACTAATGTAACTATTCACACTTTCTTTTACTATAATTATCATAGTAATCTTTTTCTTCCCTTGTACATTTAAACTATATTGATCCTTAAATTACTTTTATTGCTAGATGGCATAATTTCTAATTTCTGTTTTGCAATGATTATATGATTTTCTTGATGGTTAACCAATTGTCTCTCATGTTGAAGGAGAATATGGAAAAATAATGGCTTCTAGTTTATTTGAGCATATAAAATTGATTTCATTTACTCTTCTCTAAATATTCTCTAGATTCAATTAGTTCATGCCTGGATGGAAATCAGACACTCAGCCCTACAGAAGGTAATATGCTTCCTTATCAAGGGCCAACACTGAGGGGATGGAGAGTGGAACTTTGTTAGAAACAGTGGCTGATGGCCTGGTTGCAGGCCACCCCTATGACTAACTTTTCAATGTGGTGATCTGAATGTTGTGGTTGAGGTGCCCCAAGTGACCCTACCACTACTTGCTCCCTGAACAAGGCACAATCTTATTTGCTGCTACACCTCTGTCAAGTTATAGTGGTAGGAAGAGCATGGGTTTAACTTCCTGTCAGGACTGAGTTCAGGTTGCATTCTTTCTTCATCTAGTTATGTGATGTTTGGTTGACCATGAAATGCAAGCACTTGTATTCACAAAAGAGAGAGTGATACTAAAACAGGAAAGGACAGGTATTAATTGTAGATTTTAGTGAAAGAAAGTTTCATTCACATAAAAGGTTTGCTCTATTATAGCTGCCCTGCCTGTGTTAAAGTGATGACATAATGACCTCACCTTTATTACAGGTGAGTTGTGGCAGGTGCACCTCTCAGTAAACCATGCTCAGTCATGGACAGCTTATGCTGTTTTATGGGAAGTGTGAGATTCTATGTTTGATGATATTTATAGGTCAGAGGGCTCAAATTTTGCTTTAAAAGATAGACACAAGGGGTCAACTGTTATATTAAATTCTGAGAATTGGATTGAACATACTAAAACAAAATACATAAGCGCAGGTCATAATTAATCTATCTGTAGGTATATGTAGGTCTAAACAAGAAGGAAGAAAAAAATATCTAAAGTCTATGATAATATCACACCTTTGCAATAAAATCCTTTTTTATGAAAAATTTCCAAAACAGTAAAAATTTTGGTTTTTGTTTCTTAATTTACATAGCACATTTCTTTTTCACCTGAAGTGAATATATGTAGACAACTCTTGTCACTAGGCATTGTCATTTTTCTTTTATATGTAATTACTAATCTGATGAAATAACAGATTATACTAAAATCTGTTGATTTCACCGAGTTTGTTATTCTCTAAAAATATAAAATGTTTCCAACTAGTTCAACCTGAATTCCATCTGAGTTACTTTTAATGAAAGTATCATATACTTTCTAGATGCATGTTTATCTTAAATGTTACCATGAGGGACAGATATTCAGTTTTGATGCTACCAGGTTTTTTTGACATTTATCAAAATTCAAGGGGAGACAACCACATAACTAATATTCTGTTTTCTTTTGTTTCCCAAGGAGCATATATTTTGTGACTAATCCAAMATTGCTCATCACTAAAACATCAGATTTAGGACATTACTTGTCCTAAATTGTCATTTTATCTATAACTCTTTTTTATGTCAGTCTGTTTTTAGATATCAAAACTCTGATTTAATTTCAACATATTTATAATGCATTTTCTTTCCATGGTAATGCATAATACTGGATGAAATTGGTTAACATTTGGATTTGGTATAGTATATTATATATATTTTGTGAATGTTAATTTATTGTATAAGTCTAATATTTCGGGAATAAGATCAACTGGAAAGCAAGGTTCTAGCACAACTTTATGTAATCTTCTGTGAACAAATTGAAAACACAAAGTTCTTTATCATGGCTTCTTTTCTCATTCTCCTTGTGTGTGTCCAGATAACACTTGGCTGTCTGTGCAGATGGGTACAAAGGCTGTGCTCTGTTGCCCTCGTATTCCACCAACATCAGGGTTGATACTAACAACATGGAAAATACACCTCAGAGACAAGCCTTCGTGCAGCATGTCCCTCAACAGAGAAACAAATCAGTCTGGGAAAAACAACTGTACTGATGGGAGAATCTCCTGGGCCTCCAGACCTGACCAGAATCTTGAACTTCAGATCCATCCAGTGTCCATCTCACATGAAGGGGATTACAGGTGTGAAATGGGAGCAACTGATGGAAATTTTGAACATACGTATCACCTCCAAGTGTTAGGTAAAGAATGTCGTCTACTGTGATATTTTGGGTTAACTGGATTTGTGACTGAAACAGATGTTTCTGTAATCCCATAACCGTATGTTGAAACTGAAGCATGATTTTTCTTCCATCTCTGCAGTGTCCCCTGAAGTGACCCTGTCTCTGGAGAAGAATAGAACTGTGGAGTGCAAAGCAATTGCAGGCAGGCCAGCTGCCCAGATTTTTTGGGCCCCAGAGGGGGATTGTGTCACTGGGAAAGAATACCAGGACAATGGCACAGTGACGACCAGGAGTAGGTGCCATTATCCAGATTGCAACGTGTCCACCGTGACCTGCTTGGTCTCCCACCCGACTGGCAACAGGAGTCAATCCATAGATCTGCTTCCTGGTTAGTAATTCTAGTTTCCCCCCGCCCCCATTCTTTTAGAGGCATTATGTCAGAAAGGAAAAAAGAATGTACAGAGAAATTTCATTTATAGATACTCCACTTTAGCCTCCACTTTAATCTCTAGTTTCCAAAATAAAAAGACTTTCTGAGTCTGGCCTGTTTCAGTTGGCATAATGTTCTCCAGTTCCATTCATTTACCAGCAAATGCCATAAACTCATTCTGCTTTTTGGCTGAGTAAAACTCTATGATACATATATACTGCATATTCTTTATTCATTCATTGTTACTATAGCTTTATAGTATAGTTTAAGGTCTGGTATTGTGATGCCTCCTGCTTCACTCTTTTTGCTAAGAATTTCTTTGGCTATTCTGGGTCTCTTATTTTTCCAAATGAATTTTGTGATTGCTTTTTCTAGTTCTATGAAGAATGTCATGGGCATTTAATAGGAATTGCATTAAATCTGTGTAACAGTTTTGGCAGTATGGCCATTTTGACTATATTAATTGTGTCTGTGACATTTCATGTACTGTGCTGTCAATGGATTCTATTATTGTAGCATCTTTGTTTGGGGCACTTTCTTCCCTTATTATTCATGGTTTTAATTGAAAGATAAAGTATAATTTTWAAAAAAATGCTTATGGTTTTAGTAAAAGGATAAAGTTATTCAAAACATTTGCCTTCATGAACTTTAGTGTGGTAAAATGTCTCCTCTAGGCTCTTCCTGATAAAATTTCTTAAATGCTTTTATAATCACATCTGTAATTTGGTTTCTTGGTTCTCTGCTTCAATCCTACCTTCATTTACTTTTATTTAAAAATTTAAATATTATTAACATCAATGTAACATACAGAATTAAAAGTCAAATTGTTCCATAAGTCAGTAACTGAAAGATACCAGCCCTATTAGTGCCTTTCCAACCCCACAACTGTGTCCTCATTCAAATCCCCAGAGGGAAGTACTTTGAAATCTTTAAGTGTTTCTTGTGGTAATTAACTCTATTTTCTTAAACCACATTCTCACAGTGCTGTTTCTTAGTGTGTTGAATTTAGACTTTATGTATTCACTTTCTCTTATGGTAGATGAAGATTTAACCTTATCTTACTCCCTTTCCTCATCTTTCATGTTATTAATATATCAGCACTTCATTAACTTAAGTGGCCAATGTTTGCATTAATTTGTTGTTAAGTGCTGAATCAAGAAATAAAGTAATTCTTTCTCTTTTGAATAACTTCTTGTTTTTCCTGGACTTCATAATTGCTTTACTTTTTGGGGATTCCTTAATGATATATATACCTATTGTTACTTATTATTGATCTCACTGACTGAACTAGAGAACACCTAGTAATATTTATTTCCCTCTGAGACTAATAAGTTTTGCTGGTCGCTTGACTTTCTGCAAAGCTATGGGCCTGGACATTCTCCTTGCCTCAATCTTCTGCTTGATCCTATGTTTACTTAATCTGAGCTCCTTTTTTCTCCTGGATATTGGTTTGTTTTTCATCTTTTTTCCCCACGTACAATACTTTTATTAACCCTTTGGTAATCCTTGCTCTCAATAAATTTCAAATTGAGCACTAAAGAACCAATTCAAAGCTGTATTATCTGATGGTGGAATTTACAAACTAATAAGTTTTGATACATGAACAAGAAGGTAAATGATTTTTATCTTTAAAAAAATTGATTCTTCCTTACATTTCTGAAGGTCTTTTTCTCTGGGACTGTTCAGACTCTTTGGAGAATTACTCTCTAGTGCTTTACCCTGGAAGAATAAACCTGACCCTGGTGTTCTGGGAAGGGAGAATGCTGTGTGTGTTCACACATTCCACTGTTCATAGCTCAGACTTTCCTTTAATATTGCTCTTTGGTTTGGCACTTCAGCTCCACCCTTCCTAATGTCTGGATCCTTGACTCAGGAATCTCTAGTTTTACTATGAAGGTGCTCAGGATTATTTTCATTATAAAAAATATTATAGCACCCAAGGGAACTATTGCATGTGGGTCTTGGAACTATGAAATTAGAACATTGAAGTAGATAAGGACTCTCACCTCTGTTCCTCCCTCTTATTCTGCATCATTTCCCCTCCATATTTTTTTATCTTCCAAAGTAGGAAAAATATGGGAAAAGGGTAGACAAATGAAGTCTTCTCAATTCTGTTTCTAAAATCCTTGAGAAAAGGCTCTGCTTTATCTGTCAAGTGAGAGTCCCATCATTAGACCAAACAACTTTAATTAGGGAGTGGCATATGGAGAAAGGAGTTGAGTCAGATCAGTTCATGTGAGATGCCCACCCTGGACCAATCCCTCTGGCTGGAGAAGGGAGACAGGGTTACCTTGTGTAAATGGTTGACAAGATTAGGTGTCTGAAAAATGTGAAACCTTTGATTAATACCTTCTGAATATAATTTTCAACATATTAACATAGTTTTATTACTAGATGGCATAACTTATAATTTGTGTTTTGCAATGGTTATATAATTTTCGTGATGGTTAACCAATTGTCTCTCATGTTGAAGGAGAATATGGAGAAATACTGTCTTCCCCTCCATTTGAGCATGTCAAATTGATCTCATTTACTCTTCTCTAAATATTCTCTAGATTCAAGTAGTTCATGCTTGGATGGACAGCAGATGGCATTACCCCTTATGGAAGGTAATATGCTTCCTTATCGAGGGCCAGCACGGAGGGGATGGAGAGTGGAACTTTGTTAGAAACAGTGGCTGATGGGCAGCCCCTTGTCTGGCTTTAGAATATGGCAATCTTTGTGTTTTGGTATGAGGTGTCCCAAGTGACACTACCACTACTTGCTCCCTGAACAAGGTACAGTCTTACTTGCTGCTACACCTGTGTTAAGTTAGAGTGGTGGGAAGAGTGTGGGTTTGACTTTCTGTCAGGACTGTGTTCAAGTCCTATCTCTTTCTTCATCTAGTTACATGATCTTTAGTTGACCACAAAATGCAAAGGCTTGAGTACCCAGAAAAGAGTGATACTAAAACAGGAAAGGACAGATACTAATTGTAGATTTTAGGGTAAGAAAGTTTCATTCACACAAAAGGTTTGCTCCACCATAGCCGCTCTGCCTGTGTTACAGTGATGACATCACTGACCTTACCTTTGTTACAGGTGAGTTGTGGCAGGTGCATTGGTTGAGTAATCACCTCTCAGTAAACCATGCTCAGTCATGGACAGTTTATGCTGGTTTATGGGAATTGTGAGATTCTATATTAGAAGATGTTTGTAGGTTACAAGTCTCAAGTTTTGCTTTAAAACATGGACACAAGGGGTCAACTTTTATATTTAATCCTGAGAACTGGATTGAACATGCTGCAGCAAAATATGTGAGCACACGTCATAATTCATTTATCTCTGGATATATGTTGCTCTAAACAAGAAGGAAGGGAAACTTCTCCAGATACTATGTTTGATAATGTCACACATTTACAGTAAAAACTGAAAGTTTTTTTTTTTTTTTATACACCAAGCTACTTTTTTACCATAAATAAATATTTTGAAGGTCTCTTTTCACTAGGCATTATCATTTTTCATTTTCATGGAATGGCTGAACTGGTGAAACTGCATATTATTTCAAGATATATTGGTTTTACTGACTTGTGATTTGTAAATTATAAAAAATTAAAAAATTCCATCATGCTCAATCTAAATGCTATATTATTTAACTTTAGTAAAAGTGCCACATACTTCCCACATTTATGTTGTCTGGAATTGCACCCTTAGTAACAGGCATTTAGATTTGATGTTACTGATAGTTTTGTACTCATCAAACCTCAGGGGGAGATCACCGCCTGATAATTATTCCATTTTATTTTATCTCCCTAGGAGCATGAATTGTACGATAAAATCAGTATTGCTCACTGCCAAAATATTAGTATTAGAACACTGTCTTTGTCATTTAATTTAGAATTCTGTCTTCCTGTCTGTTTCTAGACATTGAAACTCCTGATTTAATTTCAACATATTTTATAATGCATAGTTTCCCTAATAATTCATACTATAGGAGAAAATTGTTAATATCTGAATTTCCTTTAGTACATTACGTATATTTTGTGAATGTTAATTTCTTATGTAAATCTAGTATTTCTGGAGTAAGATCGCCAGCTAAGCAATGTTGTACTAGGACTTCATGTAATGTGTGGTGGATAAGTCACACACACAGGTCCTTTATCAAGGCTTTCTTTTCTCATTCTCCTTGTGTATGTATGCATGTGTGTCCAGTTACCACTTCACTGTCTGTGGAGATGGGTACCAAGGTGGTGCTCTATTGCCCTTGTATTCCATTGACAAGAGTACTGATAACAACATGGCAAATACGCTTCAGAAACAAGCCTTCATGCAAAATTGCTCACAACAGGGAAACAAATCAGACCATCAAAACCAGCTGTGTTGACAGGAGAATAACCTGGGCCTCCAGACCTGACCAGAGTCCTCACCTTCAGATTTATGCAACAGCCATCACTCATGATGGATATTTTAGGTGTCAAATGGCAGCATATCATGGGAATTTCCGTCGTGGATATCACCTCCAAGTCTTAGGTAAAGAACGTCATATGTTGTTGGGCTGGGGATGTGGCTCAAGCTGTAGTGTACTCACCTGGCATACATGGGGCACTGCGTTCAAGCCTCATCACCACATAAAAATAAAATAAAGATGTTGTGTCCACCGAAAACTAAAAAATAAATATTAGAAAATAAAAAAGAAAGGTATGTCATATGTTGTAAATATGATATTTCAGATCATCAGATTTGTGACTGAATTAAGTGTCTCTAAATTTCATATTTCTTATGTTAAGACTGAAGCATGATTTCCCTTACATCTCTTCAGTGTCCCCTGAAGTCCCTGCTTTCAGGGCAGAATAGAACTGGGGTATTAAAGGCAGATGCAGACAAGTCAGCTGCACAGACTATTTGGACACCAGAGGGGGATTTTATCACACAGACAATTCTATGACAGTGACACAGTGGTAGCCAGGAGTATGTGCCACTATTCAGATAGACACGTATCTATTATGACCTGCTTAGTCTCCCATTTGACTGGCAAGAGGAGTCTATCCATAGATCTGCTTCCTGGTTTGTAATTTTTCTAGTTTGTTTTTTGTTTAAGAACTTGATGCTCTTACTTCTTCACTCTAGCTCTTGTCTTTTATTCATGTCTAAGATTCTTTACAAAACGAAACCTACATTTATTGTCTCTTTTATGTTACCTCACATCTATCCCTTGACATTTATTCCTTTGTGTCTACCGTCCCAGAAAGTAGTTGGACAAAAAGCATCAAATATTCCCCAGATGTCAAATAAAATATAAATTTTTCTTTGTTTGTTAGCTTAATTAGCTTTATTGTAAGTTTTCACAAATATTAATGTTAAATATTTACCATTCAATGATGTTGAATAATTGGTAACTTTAAATAATATTTATTAATTCTTAATAGTTGATTTATTTTTTGTTAATATTCAGTATGATCACTCCTCCTTTCTCATGTGTTTCCCTCCCATTCTCACTTGATTCTCTTCCTTTTTCTTCTGTATATTTTTTGATGAATGATAATTATGCATAATAGTGAGATTAATGCACATGACATAGCATTATAATTAGGTTAATATCATTTCCCTGTATTTCTCTTTTCTATGCCCTCTGGTTCCCTTCCTCTATTCTACTGGTGTCCCTTCTATTTTCATGAGACATGAGACCCTCCCTGCAACCTTTTTCCCTTTTTCCCTCTACAGTTTTCACATATGAAGAAAAAAAAACAGGACCCTTGATGTTCCGAGTTTGGTTTACTTTGCTTAACATGATGCTCTCAGGTTCTATCCATTTTCCTGAAAATGACATAATTTCATTCCTTATGACTAAATAAAACTCTATTGTGTATACATACCACATTTTCTTATCTATTCATCCATTGACATCCCCAGGCTCATTCCAAAATATGACTATTGTGAATTGTCCTACTATGAACATGGGTATGCATGTACTGTAGTATGCTGACTTTATTTCTTTGGGATAAATACCAAGGAGTGGCATAGCTGGGTCACATGGTGATTCCATTTCTAGTCTCTTGAGGAATATCCATTCTGATCTCTGTAGTAGTGTACTAATTTATAATTCTAACAACAGTGTAAAAGTGTTTCATTTCCCCCCACATCATCACCAACATATATTATTGTTTGTATTGTTGCTTACTGCTATTCTAAGTGAAGATAAAATCTCAATGTAGTTTTGATTTGCCTTTCCCTAATTGCTAAAGGCATTGGATACTTTTTAAATATATATGTTTGTTGTAATTTGTATTTCTTCTTTTGAGAAATGTCTGTTTAGTTCATTTGCTCATTTATTGATTGGGTTGTTTTTGGTGTTAAGTTTTTTTGAGTTTTTAACATATACTGGATAGTAATTATCTCTCCAAAGAGTAGCTAGCAAAGATATTTTTCCATTCTGTAGGTTCTCCCTTCACCTTCTTAATTATTTTCTTGGCTGTGCAGAAGTTTTTTTTAATTTGATGCCATTTATTCATTAATTCTTGGTATTATTTCCTGAACTTTAGGAGTCTTATTGAGAAAGCCATTGCCTATGCCTATATGTTAGAGTGTTGACCCTACATTTTCTTTAATGAGTTACCAAATTTGTTGTCTAATTCCTAGGTCTTTGATCCACTTTGAGTTGATGTTTGGACAAAGTAAAGAAATAAGGATTTAGTGTCATTCTTCTATATTAGTATAACCAGTTTCCCCAGCACCATTTGTTAAAAAGCCTGTATTTTCTCTAATGTCTGTTTTTGGCACCCCTGTCAAGGATCACATGACTGTAGATGTGTGTGAATCTGTTTCTGTGTCTTCTGTTTGGTACCATTGGTCTATGTGTCTGTTTTTTTTTTTTTTTTTTTAAGAGAGAGAGAGAGAGGAGAGAGAATTTTTAACATTTATTTTTTATTTTTCTGCAGACACAACATCTTTGTATGTGGTGCTGAGGATTGAACCTGGGCCRCACGCATGCCAGGCAAGCGCGCTACCACTTGAGCCACATCCCCAGCCCTATGTGTCTGTTTTTATGCTAGTTCCATGCAGTTTTTGTTACTATATGTCTGTAGTACAAGTTCAGATCAGGTATTGTGATGTCTCCAGAATTGCTTTTTTTTTTTTTTTTGGTTTAGGATTACTTTTGCTATAGTGCATTTTTTATTCTTCCAAATGAAATTTAGGACTGCTGTTTCTAGTTCTATTTTAATAGGGATTGCACTGAATCTGTACATTATTTTTGGTTATTTGGCCATTTTAACAATATTAATTTTGCCTATCCATGAAAATGGGAAGTCTTTCTATATTGTGTCTTATTTAATTTCTTCTTTCAATATTCTAAAATTTTCATTGTAGACATCTTTCATTTCCTTGGTTAGTTTCATTCCTAAGTACTTTATTTTTGTTGAAATTATTGTGAATGGGATTATTTTCCGRATTTCTTAGCAAATTCATTGTTGGCATATAGGAAAGCTACTGATTTTTGTATGTTGATTTTGTTTTCCATCCCTTGGTTCTCTTCTTAACATTCAGTTGACTTATTTGTTTTCATGTATTCATTCTATGAATGAAAGTATTTCTATGGGTTACATCCTTGACCTGATTCTCACTTATCTATGTTCCTTGAATAACCTCAAAATCATACCCATTGCTTCATCTATCAGCTAATTCTTAGCTCTCAAATCTGTGTTTTCTTTTTGCCCAGATTTTGCTTCTTAGCTCTCCCAACTTGAAACTGAACAGGTTCACTTAGATGCATTAAGGGCAACTCAAATATTTTTACCCCTTCATGAGTTCTGCATGTTTGTTTTATAACTTTAAATTTTTGTACATTCTTTTGTACAAATCTTTCTGTACACTCTCTTCAATTATTTTCTTTTCTCTATATTTTTATTTGTGCATCATAATTATGCCCAATAGTGGGATTCATGGTTACATATTCATACATGCACTTTATAACTTGATAAATTTCTTAAGCTAGAAACTTAAACAGATTCTACAACATCCTTCTTTCTTATTCCTCATATTCAAAACCAGTCACTCTGTTTTATTGATTTGACCTTAGAAATCATTCTTAAATATGGAAGCTTCTCTTTCTATCTTAGTTATTTGTATGATCATCTCTCACCAAGATTATCAAAATGGCTTTAGAGCAAGACTACTGGCCCTTAGCTTACTTACTTTCAATTTATTCCCTGGATTATTTCACAAGGGACCTTTCTAAAATGAAAAATGTTCCACTCCTCTACTTACATGACCCCCAAGGCTCCTTTGGCTTCATGGAAAGCTAAACCCCTTTGACAGCTTGCACTACAGCAGCTCTTCTCTGCCTCATGTCTCACTCTTCTCCAGTCTGCACCCCAGGTATGTGGGTCCTTTTCGGCTTTTCAAAAGTATTCTGCTCTGTTTCTCTGTTGCCTTTTACACTCAGCTTCAACATCCCCACAATGTACTTCTTTCTCTGTGCTCATTTCTTGCATTGCATTTGATCAATTTTTATTGAGGTTTTGAGACTTAGTTTGCCATTGTTCCTCTGGGATGACTTTTTCTTTAATCTGAAGCTTAGTCAACTATTTCTTCTCTGCATTGACATAATGCTTCACGAGTGCCTCTGTCAGGGTACTTCCATATGTCTGTCATTGATGGCTCTGAACTATTTTCACTCACAATATGACACCAAATGAGCATGGTTCTTTTCTTTGCACACCAACCAATACTCTAAATCTCCAGTATTAACCAGGTGTCTTGCAATTCAATTTAATTCTGATGCTAACTCCTGGGGTTAGAACAGATCCCACAGCTTAGGGAGTCAGTCTCACATACTGCCCCCACTTGAGACACCAGTAACAGGTTTTAGTTGCCACCTGTACTTATAGCTGATTGACTATAAATTCAAGGAGTTCCCACATTCCTCCGATCAGATTCAATAATCTGCCAGAATGGCTCACAAAACTCAGGAAGGCATTTTATTTACTGTTATTCATTATTACAAAGGAAACAACACAGGAACAGCCAAATGGAATAGATACCTAGGGCAAAGTACAGGGGAAGGGGCCTGGAGCTTCCATACCATCTTA